AGCCCCCTCCCTATGCGATCTGCATTTCGTGTTGGCAGTCCGAGCGGTTCATCGGAGACCTTGCAGTTGTCGTCACTTTCCAGCTCCTCTGGATTTAATATGGAGGACGTCTCAGGCCGGAGCTTCGTCTGTGAGTGAATTGCGGGGAGATCTCAGGCGGGAGCCCCCTTCCTATGCGATCCTTCATGTTATGATGTTCCAACCTACGTTAGCCTTGATCAAGAGAAAGAATTTCGAGCCCCCCCAGGAAGTACCGAAACTCAATGGTTTTCACGTGCCGGTCCCTGGGAGACACTCGCCCGACATTGTTTCGACACTCTTTTGACAGTTTTTCCGGGTGCTCGAAATTAGGTCCTTAAGTAGGATGGGAACAAGATAAACTTCATGTTGGGAACCCGAGCGGGTCATCGGAAGCTTGTAGCTGTCGTCATTGTTCTGCTCCTCTGGACTGATTTCGGATTCCAGGGCTGAGGCGGAGCAGCTCACGGCGGAGGTGAACTTCGTGTTGCCTCCCGCCTGGGCTCGGCTGCGAGTAACTCGGTGCCTGCGGGGTTGTCCCAAAGGCTTGCTTTCGCACCCAAGCGGTTCGCGGGGTTGACCCAACGGCCGTTGCCCCGACGGTTTCGCGATATTACCATCGGAGAAGGCGCCCCTGCCGGGCGCGGCGGCGATGTCGCCGAGGAAAATCGGCATTCGCCCCCCCTGCCAGGAGGAAGGGGAGGCGCATGAGGAAAACAGGCGAGACGCTGACGACGGGGGAGGGGCGAAGGAGGAGGTGGAGGAAAAGGAGGAAGAGGAGGAAAAGGACGAAGAGGAAGAAAACACATTGAACAAAGAAGGCGAGCAGAAGGAGGAGACGGATGACGAGGAAAACAAGGAGGATGAGGAGGAGGCGCAACAGAGGGCGAGACGGGGGGCTTCGGTCAGGGCGAAGAGCAAAAACGGAAGGGCATTGTAAATACATTATCATGTGGGGTCCTACCGTCGGATGAATATTTCGGCACCACGCGCAGTCTCCCTCCTCCTCCTCCTCCTCCTCCTACTCACTCCCTCTCATCCCCACACATTCACACAACATCATCATTGCCATCACCATCATCGCCGTCACCATCCTACTCGCAAGCACCACATCCACCATCATCTGTCATCCCACTACGTCCTCAATCATCATAATCCACATATCATCTCCTTCGTTCATTTGTCCCCATCACCCATATTCATGTCTTGATCCTATCATGATCATGGATCATCATCATCGTCATCGTCACCCGCGCACACATCCAGCGTCATTGCTTCCACCACCCCGTCACGATCATCGACCAAGAGGGGCTTTGTTTGTAAGTACATCGCGATGACGTTTCGTGCTGGAACCCCATCCTTATGGGGTCCGCACTTCATGTTGGTAATCCGATTTGTTCAGCGGGATATTGTACTTGCCGTCTTTGTTCGGCTTTCCAGGGTTGAGTATGGAGGAAATCTCCTGCGGGAGTTTATTCCGTGAGTGAATTGCGACGAGGACGTGTCAGGCGGGAACCCTTTCCCTAGACGGTCCGCGCTTCATGTTGATAAGCCGAGCGGGGCATCATAATCCTGTAATTTGCAGCATTTTTCGGCTCCTCTGGACTGAATATGGAGGAAGTCTCCGGCGGGAGCTTCGTCTGTGAGTGCATTGCGGAGAAGTCTCAGGCGGGACCCCCCCCCAATTGGGGTCCGCATATGATGTTGGCAATCCGAACGCTTCATCGGGATGTTGTAATTGTCGTCACTTCTCGTATCCTCCGGATGGAATGCTCAGGACGTCTCCGGCGGTAACTTCGTCTGTGAGTGAATTGCGACGAGGAAATCTCCCGAGAGACTTTTCCCCTTGGGGTCCGCATTGCGCGTTTGCAACCCGAGCGGGTTATCGGGATCTTGTAATTGTCGTCGCCTTTTCGGCTTCTCTGGGTTGAGCATGGTGGAACTTTTTGGCGGGAGCTTCGTCTGTGAGTGAATTGCGGGAAAGTTACAGGCGGGACCCCCCCCCCACTATGGGGTCCGCACTTCGTGTTGGTAAACCGAGCGGGTCATCGGAATCTTGTAAGCGTCGTCATTTTTCGACTCCTGTGGCTTGAATGTGGAGGAACTCTCTGGCGAGGGCTTCGTCTGTGAGTGAATTGCGGGGGAGTCTTCGGCGAGAGCCGCCCCTTATGGGGTCCGCATTTCGTGTTGGGAGCCCGAGCGGGTCATCGGAAGCTTGTATTTGTCGTTTTCTGTTTGGCTCCAACGGCTTGCTCTCGCGCCCCAGCGGTTCGCCGGGTTGTCCCAACGGCCGTTGCCCCGACGGTTTCGCGATCTGCCATCGGAGAACGGTCCCCTGCCGGGCGCGGCGGCGAGGGCGCTGAGGAAAATTGGCATGCGCCCCCCTGCCAGGAGGAAGGGGAGGTGCATGAGGAGAACACGCGGGGTGCTGATGCCAGAGGAGGGGGGAGGAGGAGGAGGAGGAGGAGGAGGAGGTGGAGGAGGAAGAGGAGGAGGAGGAGGAGGAGGAGGAGGAGGTGGAGGAAAAGGAGGAAGAGGACGAAGAGGAACAGGACATATTGAATAAGGAGGGCGAGCAAGAGAAGGAGAAGGAGGACGAGGAAGACAAGGAAGATGAAGGGGAGGCGCAACAGAGGGCGATGCGGGGGGCTCCGGCCCGGGCGTAGAGGGAACACCGAAGGGCAATCGAGATGTATTGTCGCGCTGGCTCCTACCGTCGGAGCAATGTGACTTGCGCGACGCGTTCTTAGAACAGTTACGGCTGGACCCATATTGGTTTAACACGTCGAATGTATGTTATATGTGCACCGTTTTTGGTCATAGAACAGTTTTGTTGGTTTCTGAAAACATGCGGTTGTAGGCCTATACGAATGCCTGGACGGTCGGTCCCTGTTCAAGAACGGGGGGTGGCCAAGTTGGGAGTGAAACGCAAGGCCTTCGAGTGGCCATTTCGGGCCCCTTTTTGGAGCCAACTGGTGGCCAAACGGGGCCCTCAAGGGCCCCTTGAGGGCCTTTGCCTTCACAGCCCACGTGGGCCACCTCCTGCTACCAATTCGCCCCCGATGGTGTGGGGGGGCCTTGCAGGGGCCCAGGACCTGGCCGAGACAGGCGCGTTCCCCCAGAGCGCCGACCGCAGCAGTCCGATGTGTTGCGAATCGGCGGGGCTGTCGGCCAGCGCCCAGTACGGCTGCGTGTGGTTCCCCTGAGATCCAGACATCGTCCAGTCTCAAGCCCCGGGGCCTTCGCGGGTCGATCCGGCTCGAGACATGCCCCTGAAGGATGAGATGGCTGGTTCAGGCTTTGATCTCTCGACTTGTCGAGATTGCCCTTGCGTGCTTCCCCTTCGGCCCATTCGTGGCCGCTTTCGCTGGTCGCGCCCCGCTCGCAAAAGCGTCGGCATGGCATTCCAAGGCCCTTGCATCCTTATCGCGCGTCCTTCTTATCCAATGGCCTTCGTCCCATCCCGCCACCGTACCTGGGTTGTGAGTATGAAGCGTCTTGGATGCTCGTCGGGATCTTGTGGGAGGCCTTTCAGGGGCCTGTTGGACGCAGTTTGGTGGCCTCTTCGGGGCCGTCTTGGGGCCCCGCTTGGGGCCTGTTTGGGGCCTCCGGGGCCTCCTGGGCGCGGTTCGGCGACCGCGCGCCAGGTCCGCGCACCCCCAGGATGTCCGCAGCGGGCGCCCGCGTCAAAGTTCAGCTTGGGCCTCGCCATTTCCATGATGGCCCCCGTCAGGCCAACCCCGAGTCCCCCGTACCCGAGCCTTCCAGTCGGGGCCCTGAAGAAGGAACGCTTTTCGTTGGGGAGGGGCTCGGTGTTCCTTGATTGTTTTACAGTTTGCCTCGGGTTCCCCTTAGGTTTTAGTATGGGAAATCGAAATTTAACTTATGGAAAAGAGGGGCCTCGTTCCTTGTTCAGGGTTCCTTAGGTCAACGCCCCGACTGTACGTCTCCCGGACAACCCGGCGTGCGCCCGACGGGCCCGCCCTGCACGCCATGGCCTCTCCGAGCGCCGCGGGCCTCTCGCGCGGGGCTCCTCCCCGCGCGCAAAGCCACGGGTTTCTCGAGCCCCCCCCCCGCGGGTGCCCGACGCCCTCCCGGGCCCCCGCCGGGGGCGCCCGGGCCCCGTGCCCACGGGGTCTTCGGTCGAGTCGGGCGTGCCCCTCTACAGAAGGGATCTCCGAAAACAGTCCGCAAGCAGAGTCTGGGGGGCGGTTTGTGTGCCACGATGTTTGCTGATGGTGGGGGCATGTTTTTTGTTTCGCTAATGGAGGATGATGATTAAAAAATGACCGGAGGTCGTGTTCACGCGGCGGCGCCCGGGATGATGATTAGAAAAAACCGGCCCCGGGTTGGGAAACTATTTTTTAATCGTCCCCACCCACCCCCCCCGCCGTCCTCGGGCGCACGCCCCCCCCCGGTGACGAAACACCGCACAGGCGAGCCCTGCTTCTGAGCGGTCCCCCCCGGTGCGGGAAACTATTTTTTTCATCGTTTCCCCCGTCCTTTTTCTCTTAATCGTCATCCCACATTACTTTTCTCTTTTTCCGCCCAAGATCCGCCTGCATGCAGCTGATTTCGGCCTCACCGAGGGGCCCATTCCTCGATACATAGCCGCCTCCGGCGCCGGGAGGCGCCTGGAAAATCAGCTACGTGAGCTGATTCTCAAACCCCCCCTTTGCTATCCCCCCGTTTCGCCCGACCCGAAGGGAGCCCCGCGCGGCCTGAGCTCAAGGGACCTTCCGCCCTCCTGCCGTCGCCAGGGCCCGGCAGGTGGAGCGGCGCCTGGCGCACGCGGGGGCAGCCTCGAAGAGCAGGGCACGGCACAGAAAGCGTAGCTTCGCGGAGTTCCGCGCGGAGTGCTTTCCTCCTCCTCCTCCTCCTCCTCCTCCTCTCATCCTCCTCGCCTCTCTCCTCCCTCCTCCCCCTTCCCCTCCTCCTCCTCCCCCTTCCCCTCCCCCTCCCTCTCCCCCTCACCCCCCCTCCTCCTCCTCCTCCTCCTCCTCGGGTCGGCGCTGGGCCGTCCCCCCGCGGCGCGCCTCCGGCGCATCCCCATGAGGCGCACCTCGCGCGCCATGGAGGGGGGGGCCAGCGCCGGCCCAGGAAGTCCGTGCAGACCGTCGAGCGTTTGATATGTTTTCTGTTGCCGCCTGTTCTTCCTCCACGTCTGCGCTCGGGAGGGCGCTCGCGAAGCTGGAGGGCCGCCGCCTGCGCGACGGCCTCGTGGGCCTGCACCGGCACTCCAGCCTGGGCTCCTGCGCGCACGCGCGCGGCCACGCCGAGGACATGCTTCAGAGGCTGCAGGGCATCGTTGACTCCTTCGACGTGGAGGCGGACAGCGCCGTGGAGAAGATCCTGCAGGACACCCTGGGCGAAGACGGGTCGCTGGGCGAGGATCCAGATACATGGCCAGTCTGCGCCTTCGCCGGGCACGTGAGCGCGGCAGCCTGAGCGCCACAGCCCTTTCGCTTGGGTTTTTTTTGTTCCTTCCCTCTGCGGCACCGTCGTCCTCCGCAGCCTGCCTGCAGGGAGCGTGCACCTGGTCATGGCGTCCCGCGTTGCAGGGTCTAGCAGGGTGGCGCAGCCACGAAGTAGCCATGGGATGACCACGGTTAGCACCTCGGAAGAGCTGGCTGTCTTACCACCGCCCTCGGCTTGACCGAGTAGCGGAATTACAGAAGAAGCCCTGCCTCAACTGCATACCCAAACCTCCGACGTCTGATTTGTCTTAAAACCAGGAGGCTCTTGTAGGTCCCGACGCACTCCACTGGACTGCCTTTTCATACCGAGTGATTGCCCTGGGGCCCGCCACGGGAATTAAAAGAAAAAACGCCGGCATTGAAACAGACATTGCGACGGAGGTCTGGGTACGCGTACGCGGTTAGGGTAGGCTCGCGCTGCATTGACGCGGCGACGACCGCCCAAAGGCCTCAGGATGGCCCCAGAAATGCGCCCAACATTCCGCAAGAGGATTCCCCTTGCGCCTCGTATCTGCCTCGCTCTCATTCCCCCTCCTCCCTTCCCGTCGCGCTCCTCCTCCCTCCCCACGGGCCCCTCCTCCTCCTCCTCCTCCTCCTCCTCCTCCTCCTCCTCCTCCTCCTCATGTGCAAGGCTCTTCCCCGAAGCAGCCGTCAAGACCCACCTGGCGTGCGGGCAAGCTGCCCCCTTCAGCGCCCGCCAGCCTCCTCCTCCTCCTCCGCCTGCTGCTGCTGGTGGCCTCTCGTCCTCCTCTGGAGGCCGGCGCAGCAGCCAGTCAGGCCGGTCGTTGAAAGCATGCACAGTGAACCCGAATATCGGGACGATCGAAATGGGTACGGAAAGAACGGGTACGATGCCCAACAGCAGTTCCTGCTCATTTGGAGCACGAATCGCTGTCCGCGCCGCCGCGGGTGCTGTTGTCTGAAGACAAAAAGCCGCCTGCCCAACAGCCGCCGCTGTCGGTTTTGGACAACATTTGTTGTTCGGCATTGTACCCATGATTTCCGTAACCATTCCATGCGTCCAAAGAAGAGTAAGGTAAGGATGGTCAATTTTCCCAAGGTTACCCTTGCATCCTTGCCGCTTCGGCCCATCCTCAGCGACGTTCGCTGGCCAGCCTCGTTCGAAAAACGTTGTTGTCAGTCTCCAAGGCCCTTGCATCTTTACCGTGCATCCTTCTGATACGGGTCGACTGTATTTTGGGGCTCCCAGATCTTCACCTACTTCAAGGGCCTTCCTACTTCAATAATCGATCTGCTTGTACTGTATGTTGTCATTCTCTGGGAGGGCTTGAACCCAATCTACTTGAACCGCCTACCCAATCTACTTGTTACGTACTTTTTCCGACCGACGTGTAGGTCGACCCTGCCAATTCAAGGGTATTCTCGTGTCCTGTGACTCGCCTCCAATGCCTTCTACACTTACGTGGCAATGTGGCCCTCGACAGGGTCTCGTATCATCTCTTGTTTGTGGAAGGGAAATGGCACCCCGACCCACATGATCGACGTCTGCTACAACGCTCCTGGGCGTATACCAAACAACCCCGTCCTGTCCGATTATTTCTTCGGGGTTCGTTTACTAAACGGCTTCGCTTGGCGGGGTGCTTCCTCTCAGGGTGCTGTTTCTGCTCCAGCCCTGTCCTGTCCGATTCTTTCTTCCGGGTTCGTTTACTAAACGGCTTCGCTTGGCGGGGTGCTTACTCTCAGGGTGCTGTTCCTGCTCTCTCCTTGTGCCCTCCCCCTGTCGGCCTGGACTGCAGGTTCGTCCCAGCCGAGGTTGATCAGCAGGTCGGCCCTTGCGTCCCTTGCGTCGCGGCCCGTGCACTCTGCACTTCTATGGCAGTGTGGCCCTCGGAAGGGTCTTGTGCCCTCTCCTTGCTCAAGGGAGGAAAAAGGGAGCCCAACCCATCCTCCCCCTTCTCCTCCTCCTCCTCCTCCTTCCCTTCCTCCTCCTCCTCTCTTTCGGCACTGTGTGTGCGTCCGTTTCCACACCCTTGGTGAGGAAGAAACCGGCTTTCAAGTGCAACCAGCTTTCGCGTTACGACGGCGGTTGTTGAAGCATGCGGTCCGCTCCCATCAAAAAAACATTATCGGCGTTTGCTAAAGGACCTGGGCGTTTACCATACAGCCCTGTCCTGTCCGATTCTTTCTCCAGGGTCATTTGCTGAACGGCTTCGCTTGTCGGGGTGTTTAGTATGTGGGTGGTGCTTATGTTCTCTACCTGTGTCCTCTCCAAGCAACGTCGACTGTACGTTCGTCCCGGCCGAGGTTGATTAGTAGGCCGTCGCTGCCAAATCAAGGGTATTTTTGTGTCCTGTGCGTCGCGAGGCCTTTAGACGGGCATTGTGTCCTCTCTTGTTCCAAGAGGAGAATCGCAAACCGACCCACATCATCGGCGTTCGTTAGACGACCCTGGGCGTTTACCAAAAAGCCCTGGCCTGTCCGATTCTTTTTGGGGGTTCGTTTACTAGACGGCTTCGCTTGTCTGGGTGCTTATTATGAGAGTCTGCGTTTGCTCTCTACTTGTGCTCCCTCCAATCAACCTCGACTGTACGTTCTTCCCAGCCGAGGATCATACAGCCAAGACGCTGAAATAAGGAACGCCTCGGGTGCGTAAGAGGCTCGCTGTTCCTTACGCTTTTCCATGGATCCTCCTCCATCACTCCTCGTGCACCTAGGCGCTTCTGGGGCCAAGGAAGAGCTTCGTTCCTTACTTAGCGTTCTGATAGTACCTCGACGGTAAGCAGGCCGACCTTGCCAAAAGCAAGGGTGCCCTCGTGTCCCGTGCTTCGCGACCCATGCCTTCCACACTTCTGTGGCAGTGTGGTCTTCGGGTGGGCCTGTTGTCGCCTCTTGTCCCAGGGAGGAACATGCACACCGACCCATATGATCGGCGTTTGCCAAACGGCCCTGCGCGTTTACCAAACAGCCTTGTCCTGTCCGATTCTTTCTTCTGGGTGCGTTTACTAAACGGCTTCGCTTGTCGGGGTGTTTAGTATGAGGTTGCTGTGTCTGATGTCTACTTGTGCCCTCTCCCATCAACCTGGACTGTACGTTCTTCTCAGCCGAGGTTGATTAGTAGGTCGGCACTTCCAAATTGAGCGTACCCTTGTATCTCGTGCTTCGCGACCATGCCTTCTACATTTCTATGGCAATGTGGCCCTCGGTAGTGTCTTTTGTTCTCTCCTGCGCAAGGGAGGAAAAGTGAAGCCGACCCACGTGACCAGCGTTAACTAAACGGCCCTGGGCGTTTACCAAACAGCCCCGTCCTGTCCGATTCCTTTTTGGGCTCATTTACCAAAATGGCGTCGCTTGTCGGGATGCTTACTATTAGTGTGCAGTTCCCCTCTCCAATCCACCTCGACGTTTCGTTTTTCGTTTCGTTTTCTTCGTTCTTGCTCGTTTCTTCGACCTCACTATGACTGTGTTACTCGTTTCTTTGTTTGTTGCTGTTCCACTGTGCTTCGTTTCGGTGTCGGTTTCGTCTGGCGCCGGTTTCGTTTCAAACGTTCGTGATGAACGTGCGGCCTCGTGCCGTTGTTCGTTCTAAAGGCCGGCGCGCTGTGAACATCGATACCCTTTGTTTTTTTTCATTTTTTTTTCTTTTTAGATTCTTCTATTCTTTGCGATTATATTTCTTTTTTCTTTTTCATGTTTTATTTTTTCGTCTATTTTTTCTTTTTTTTGCTTAATTTTTTACTAGTTTTTCTCTATTGCCGTTGTTCGTTCTAAAGGCCGGCGCGCTGTGAACATCGATACCCTCGGTCGTTGGTGTCCTCTCTTCTGCCCTCTCCTATCAACCTCGACTGCGCGTTTTTCTTGGCCGAGGGTCTTTTGATATGGCAATCTCAAGGTGTCAAGAACCGTCACAACGCTGACACCAGTTTCGCCTGTTGGGCTCGTCAGTCCGCTAATGAGCCGCAGATGGCAGCAGTGCGCGCGCGATCTACAATCAAGCTGCGGTGGCATCAAGACCTGGCTCCACGTGTCCTTGTGACACCCTGCCCGCCCAGCGCCAGGTCGAGGGGAAGAGCCTCAGAAATCGATTGGGTTGCCAAAACCAGTAGGATCTAGCACGCCAGGCACACAACCGTGGCAAGACCACAGGGGGCGGCCGATCGAAGACGCCTGCTGCGAATCACCGCCGCCCCCTGCCTTTGTGGAAGCGCCTATGTGGCCGAACGTTGAGGCCAGACCTGCCAAGCCATCGGACCATGTGTTCCCCGAATCGGTTTGGAAAGCCTTCGGGGAACACGTGGGCGACGATCTTTGGGGGCTCTTGGGCAGTCTCGGGTCGTCGGAAGGCCGAAAAGAAGGAACTGTCAAAATCCGTCAAAAACCTAAGGAACCATCGAGGTGTTTGGCCTCTTCTGGCCTTCCTGGAGGCCCTCTTGGGGGCCTCTTGGGCCGTCTTCGGCCAGCTTGGAGCCAACTTCGGCCATCTTGGTGGGTTCCTGGCACGTCTGACGCCGTCGGGAGCCGTCTTGGGGGCCCTTCTGGGCCGACTGGGGGCCCTCGGGGGCGCTGCGGGGCCGTCTTGGAGGCCATCTTGGGCGTCTTGGAAGCAATCTTGGGCGTGTTGGAGCCCTCTTGGGCCGTCTTGGGGCCCTCTTGGGGCCCTCTTGGGGCCATCTTGGAGGCCACTTGGGTCGTCATGGGGCCCACTTGGGGGCCGCTTGGGCGATCTTGGGGGCCTCTTGGGCCGCCTGGAGCCGTCGGAATGCCGAGAAGAAGCACATCCCAAAATCCTTGAAAAACCTAAGGACAATCAATGGTTTTGGCCTCTTCGGGCCCTCCTGGAGGACCTCTCGGAGGCCTCTTGGGCCGTCTGGGAGGCCTCTGGGGGGCCTCTTGGCCCGTCTGGAGCCCTCTTGGACTCTCTTGGGCCGTCTTGGAGGCCGTCTTGGACCATCCTGGGCGGACTTGGAGGCCATCTTGGACCATCTTGGAGGCTATCTTGGACAATCTTGGCCATCTTGGAGGCCATCTTGGAGTGTTCCCCGAATCGGTTTGGAAAGCCTTCGGGGAACACGTGGGCGTCTTGAAGGTCATCTTGGCCGTCTTGGAGGCCTCTTGGGCGGTCTTTCGGCGATCCTTGGGGGCTCTTGGGCCGTCTCGGGCCGTCGGAAGGCCGAAAATAAGGACATAACAAAATCAGTCAAAAACCTCAGGACAATTCATGTTTTTTGCCTCTTCTGGCCTTCCTGGAGGCCCTCTTGGGGGCCTCTTGGGCCCTTTTGGGCCAGCTTGAAGCCAACTTCGGCCATCTTGGTGGGTTCCTGGCACGTCTGACGCCGTCGGGAGCCGTCTGGGGGGCCTTCTGGGCCAACGGGGGACCCTCTTGGGGCGCTTCGGGGCCGTCTTGGAGGCCATCTTGGGCGTCTTGGAGGCCATCTTGGGCGTGTTGGAGGCATCTTGGGCCGTCTTGGGGCCCTCTTGGGGCCATCTTGGAGGCCACTTGGGCCGTCATAGGGCCCACTTGGGGGCCTCTTGGGCGATCTTGGGGGCCTCTTGGGCCGTCTGGAGCCGTCGGAATGCCGAGAAGAAGCAAATTCCAAAATCCTTCAAAAACCGAAGGAACATCAATGGTTTTGGCCTCTTCGGGCCCTCCTGGAGGACCTCTTGGAGGCCTCTTGGGCCGTCTGGGAGGCCTCTGGGGGGCCTCTTGGCCCGTCTGGGGCCCTCTTGGACTCTCTTGGGCCGTCTTGGAGGCCGCCTTGGACCATCTTCGGCGGACTTGGAGGCTATCTTGGATCATCTTGGAGGCCATCTTGGAGGCCATCTCGGAGCCGTCTGGGGCAGAAGATTGCGTCAGTGGAAAAAATCCCGGGACCCCGGCGGGACGGGCCGAAACCCATTGGGAGAGTTCTTTGGGAAAAAGAACCAAAACCAAAACCGATAGGATTTGGCACGCCTGGCACCCTTGCGAGCAGGGGGCGGCGGATCGAAGACGCCTACGGCGAATCACCGCCGCCCCCTGCCTTTTTGGAAACGCCGATGTGGCCGAAAGTTGGACTAGAGCTTGGCCAAGCTATCGGACCATGAGTTCCCCGAGTCGGTTTGGAAAGCTTTCGGGGAACACATGGGAGAAAATGATTATGAACAGGAAGAGGAAGAGGAAGAAATAGAGTAGGAGGATGAGGGTTGTTACTGTAGGAGTCTCTTGGGGCACCCTTGGGGTCTGTTGGGGGCTTCTTGGGGGCCTCTTCGAGGCCTCTTGGAGGCATCTTGGGGGCCTCCTTGGGCCTCTTGGGGGCCTTTGGGGGCTTCCTGGGGGTCTCTTTGGCCGTCTTAGGGCGTTCCTGGTCCGTCTGACGCCGTCTGGAGCCGTCTTGGGGGCCTCTCTGGGCCGTCTTGGGGCCCTCTTGGGGCGCTTCAGGGCCGTCTTGGAGGCCATGTTGGGCGTCTTGGAGGCCTCTTGGGCCGTCTTGGGGCGCTCTTGGGGCCGTCTTGGGGGGCCCTTGGGCCGTCATATGGCCTTCTTGGAGGCCTCTTGGGCGATCTTGGGGGCCTCTTGGGCCGTCGGAAGGCCGAAAAGAAGAAAACGCAAAACACCCTCAAAAACCTAGGGAAAACCAATGATTTTGGCCTCTTCGGGCTCTCCTGGAGAACGTCTTGGAGGCCTCTTGGGCCATCTTGGAGGCATCTTGGGGCCATCTTGGCCGTCTTGGAGGGCATCTTGGCCCGTCTTGGAGGCATCTTGGAGCCATCTTACCCGTCTTGGAGGCCATCTTGGCCGTCTTGGAGGCATCTTGGAGGCCATCTTGGGCCATCTTGGCCGTCTTGGAGGCCATCTTGGGCCAAGTTGGGGCAACAAAGGCATTGACAGACGGATTTTGGGAAAATTACGGGTGGCCGGCGGGACGGGCCGAAGCCCACTGGGGAGTTCTTTTAGAAAAAGAACCAAAACCAAAACCTGAATCGTCCAGCACGCCGTGCACCCCTGCAAGCAGGGGGCGGCGGATTTCTAGTGGCATTCGGCCTATCCCGCCACCGTGGCCGGGTTCTGGGTCAGAGTTATCATGGATGCTTCTTGGGGTCTCTTCGGAGCGCTCTCGGGGGCCTCTTGGGGGCAGCTTG